AATCAGGCGACGCTCCCTATCAGGCAGTTTTGGAGAAATATCCAGAGTTGCAACAACCAAAGCACACTCTTCCGTGCATAACCGGCAATGTTATGCATCACGTCACAACTACAGGTCCACCTGTGGCATCCAAAGCGCGCCGTCTAGCCCCCGATAGGCTGAAAACGGTGGAGAGCGAATTCGACCACATGCTGGAGCTGGGCATTATCAGACCGTCAAACAGTCCTTGGGCATCGCCATTGCACATGATTCCCAAAAAGGATAGCAACGACTGGCGTCCAACCGGTGATTACCGAAGGCTCAACGCCAAAACAACTGCGGACTGCTACCCGATACCTCAAGTTTACGATTTGACTGCAACCTTATGCGGAACGGACATTTTCTCCAAAATCGATTTGGTCAAAGCGTACAACCGGATACCTATGGCAGCAGACGATATCGCGAAAACAGCCATTATTACTCCTTTTGGCCTGTTTGAATTCCTGCGCATGCTATTTGGTCTTCGGAGTGCAGCACAAACATTCCAACGCTTTGTGGATGATGTCTCCCGTGGTTTGAATTTTGTTCATGTCTACATCGATGGCTGTCTAATTGCGAGTCCAGATAAGGAAACTCACCTTAAACATTTGGACCTCGCATTCGAAAGACTCAAAAAGCGTGGCATCACAGTCAACTTACAGAAGTGTAAAATAGGAGTTGAATCACTCAGCTTCCTTGGGCATACCATTCACAACAAAGGTATGCGCCCATTGAGAGATAAAGTGGCGGCTATCACAAACTATCCAGAGCCGACCACTGTGAAACATCTCCTAACTTTCAACGGCCTGGTAAGTTATTACCGACGGTTTTGTCCCCAACTATGCCTCTGTCATGAGACCACTAACAGATCTACTTCGAGGAACTACGAAGTTCGTGGCTCTCGACAACGTAGCCAGACTTGCTTTCTCTGAAGTCAAGGAAGCCATTTCGAACGCAACCATACTCATGCATCATGACCCCAATGCTCCTTTGAGTATTGCTGTTGATGCATCTGATTCAGCAATTGGAGCAGTTTCGCAACAATTGACTGACAACCAGTGGCAACCGTTAGCCTTTTTCTCGAGGCGGCTGCAAGACGCAGAAACAAGATTCAGCACATTCGGTAGGGAACTCCTAGCTATGTACTGTTCTGTACGCCACTTTCGGCATTCGGTGGAGGGTCGTGATTTCATTATTTTCACAGACCACAAACCGTTAACGTTTTCCCTCAGCTCGGCGTCTGACAAATACTCCCCTTGTGAGTCGCGACAGCTGGATTACATTCCCCAGTTCACGTCAGACATCCGCCACATTTCTGGAGCAAATAACCCCTTAGCCGATGCACTATCTCGAGTAGCTTCGATAAACCATATTGAGGGCGTTGATCTCGTTGAACTAGCTCGGTGTCAAAAGGAACACCTTGAACTGCATCATGAGTTGTCGTCCACAACTCTCAAGACGCGACTTTGTCCGGTTGGATCAGACAAGAATACAATTTTGTGCGATGTCTCTGCTGGTCAACCACGCCCAATAGTTCCGAAGAGTTGTCGACGCAACGTCTTCAATACGTTGCACAAACTCTCTCATCCAGGTGTACGAGCCACCATTGGGCTTATCGCACAACGTTTCTGCTGGCATGGGATGAACAAAGACGTTAAGGAGTGGGCTCAGTCATGTTTAGCTTGTCAAAAGTGCAAAGTCACGCGACACACGAAAAGCCCTTTAGGCTCTTTTCTAGCCCCAGACACTTAGCGACCACTGAAGGTGGTCTTTGGTGTGACGTGAAACGCTGCAGTTGTCCACACTTAGGTGGAGTCCCGTATATGGCACGATTCACTGCTTTATGTTTGGATTTGGACCTTCGTCAGTCGCTTGCTATGCATAGTTTTCAATTCCATCTGCTCTTCTGTGGCGAAAGTTCGAGAATTAAACAAAGACCATTTGGCCGAGCCTTTCCGCAACTGAAACTCTGAAAGTCTGATAGTTAGGCTTTTAGAACTACCACTTTCTTCCTAACCAGATCACCAGTGTTTTCAGATTGATTATCTGTGACTCTTTGGAACACAGTGATCACTGGCTCATTTCCGCAAGTGGTTCGACGGCCAGGTCACCCTTACATGTATGTAGTGTTACATACATACACCTAGCCAAGGGTTCGGCGAGATTCAACACTGAAGCTTACCTTCGTAGCTTTACCAGACCGGCTAAACTTAAAGCACGCTGTCGTGTTACGTTGCGCTTCTCGTAATCGACTCTCCAGCTGGCTGGTTGGAACGCATCTGTATTTTGGCACGACCTCGCGAATATACTTTCCACCTGACTAAGCTGTTAAGTTTTTCCCTGGTCTCGTATTCGTAGGCATATTATAAGTACGATTAATAAGTGACTGGCCACTGCGTCTGTCAGGTTCTTACATAGATAATTTTCAAATTTGCATTCGCTTGCCAGAATTCTCCAGAAAACAAATTTTGGGAAGGGGAGCGCCGCCTGGAAGAAATAGGGTGACTTACTTGATCCTGGCTACAAATCCGAACTCTAGGGTCATATAATCCCTTAAACAACCCATCAGAATGTGCCTGTTTCCTCAATGCAGACCCATGGGAATACACTGACTGCTAAGGGCGGCCAGCCTGGTGCTGATGGGGCGTGAATAACAGCTTATACGACCAACACTCTTCCGCATTATCAGTAATTGATGTACAAGTCAAGCCGGAAAGGACGCAGCTGACTAGGAGATACGGTTAGATGAATTATCGAAGGGAACCTTGTGATATTCTACTAGCCGAAGAAGAAGGGGCCTGCCCTCCCCCTCAGCATACAAGACTCTTTTGGTCTGGGGACTTGCGCCACTTACGCTGCAGTAACTGGCCCACAGGTCCGGGAAATCCAGCTTAACTTCTATCAGATAGGAGGAACAATCTAATACCAGCTAGGCCTTCAGATTACAAAGAGGTCAGGTCAGTTAGGACTCCGGTCTTCGAAATTTGCGAAATTTGAAGAAGCCTGAATCATAAAATGTACTCAGAATTTGCTTGTACCTAACTTAGAGTTTTTGAAGAGTGTGCAGATGCTATATTTTTTCTATTAATAAACCACTTAGGTTAACCACTTCTAGAATATAGGCTACTGTCTGATTGAGGAGAAGTGGCTGTCACCGCACCGTATGGAGGGGAAAATAAACTTATCGCCCCAAGCCTCAGGCCAATCCTCCTGATCTCTCCGGCTACAAGTGTCACAGGAGGAGTGGTAAATGACTCCACTTTGTGATCACTCATTCAAGAAGTAAATATCGGCTGACGAACTCGGTTTTTCGCGTCGTCCATTAGATGATTGAATGTCCGTTCTGGAACTGGATTCACAGTAGCAGGCATAGGTGGTTGGATGGTTCGATGATCGTGTTAACAACCGTATTCTGAATTTCTTTTACGGTCATGGCTCCTTATGCGTTATACTCGGCTAGGTCTATTGTGTATTGGTGTTCATGCAATGCAACCTTGGGAGTGATTAATACGCAGGTTGTATGGGGTGGCAATAAGCAAAGTTTTAGGCTTCAAGTGGAAGGTTATGAGTGGTTGGATCCAAAATCGGTAGATGTCTAACTCCGCATTGTATTAAGTCACATCAATCGGAGTCATCCAAACAGTGGAATCTCACTGAATGGCCAGTATGGCAATCACTGTGGTAACCCTGGGAGAATCCCTGTGAGTTTGCGGCCACTTGAAGGCGTTGCCAGCCGGGCTTCCTGCCGCTCCATTTGCTGACAGCTTCAAAAGGGAGCTGGACGGTCTCTCAGCAACAAATGGTTTTAGCCAGTCCAGCTGGGATATGAACTGAGTCGATACAAACTACTAGCTCCGCACAACTCAGCACAGTCAACCCGTTGACGAATCTTTTGTAACGTCACCATCATCGCGAACCAGGCTCAACCCTATGCTTCTCCGTGGACATCACCATTTACCATCTCCTACTAATGGCATTACTGTTTCCATTACCATAAGCCGCCCTATAATCTTGCTTGCTCCTTCTCTTCCCTCTGATTCTATGTTCTCACTCTATCCACCAAAAGTTCCCCTTATCATTCTTCCCTCGTGCATCTGCCAAAGTTTTTTTTCCACCGTTTTGCTTCTTTTCACCTCATCGTCTTTTTGTTTCCTTTTCTTTGCGCTTCCTCTCTCTCGATTTCTCCGCACATATTTTCTGCCTTCTCCTTATGGCCAGTTCAACCAACTGCCTAGTGGCACAAAACTTGGGAAACTCACCTGTACCACAGTCCTTGAAAAAAACCACACAATCCTCACAAACTTGATCAGCATCCGGCCGCCAGTCGGGCAAGTGGGTGGGCCTACCATATTGGAGCCCAGGAAAGACCTAGAACCATTTCGCAAGACCTAGAAGTGAGTGCGAAGTAACCACTTAGTTTACAGAAGCTTGTAAAACAATATTGGATATCGGAGTCCAGATAACATGTGAGGCTGAGAAGAACTTTACCGTGACGTATTCCTTTGGTTTTCACAGGCCTCCGGTAATTACGACCTCAAGGATCCTTTCTAACACTGTCACTTAGATGAGGATTCTGAAATGACTGCCAACAAGAGTGATACTACAAACCTTTGAATTAACTTCGAAAATCTTTAGAAGAATCTGAAAATGGTGGTATCTGTTCAAATAGTTGTTGATCATAACCGATTCTCCAGGTGACTTTTGAGGAATTTTTAATATTAAGCCTGAAACTGATGGGGGCAAACCACAGCAACAACTTCATACCCCTGTTTACCAAGTTAATCTTAAGTTTAAGAGTTTCTCGTCAGGTCGTTGGACCTAATCTGTTCACTTTCATTTAGAATATCATTTCGTGCTGTTTTGAATTCTTTTTCGCAAGCGAGAGTTCTTCTAAGCATTAAAAAGATAAAAAGCCTCGGTTATTTTTGTTTGGTTACTTCCCTTATTCGTTGTTTGTTTAAACTACTCAATGATGTTTACTTATTCGCAAGTACTTTACAAGCTATACGTTACATGGTTTTCATATGGTTTTCGATAACCCAGATAATAGTCTTGTTGTACCTATGTATTCCATCCAAAGGTATCGATTTAAGTTGTTTTAAAAATTTCGCCTTAAGGGTTTATCCCCCAGATAACTGATAGGATCGAAACAGCGGTTGTACAGGAAAAGGGCACTGCCTACCTCAACTGTACTGCGGTGATAGAAGAACAGCAAGAATCTGTAAGTGAACTATGAAATTGGTGGTGTTTATGCTGCTGTCTAGAAACCTAGTAGTTTTAAAAAGAAAACAAGGGTATTTTAGCCCTGACCAATATTCCACTTCTCTTGTTTCGAATAACTCTCAGTCCTTTACAGTGATTTAATGACTTTTCGCCTATTAATTTTCCGTGATAATTCACTCGTTTGTCAAAGCACCATGAAAAATTTGGAGAAAGGGTGTCTAGTTTTGTTTATGTCACCAGACATCACTCAGCTATAGCACCAGTCTTTAAAAATCAAAACAGTAGAATAACTAGAAATCATACCTCTTATATGTCATAGGCGTGGCCTTAAGATGTTCCTTTTAAAATATGCGTGTATGTTTAGATGCATATTTGTGGACGATTTGGGCTATTCAGTTACGATCCCACAACTTTGAAAACCTAATGCCTAGAAACGAAATATTTCGTCACGGTTATAGTAAGCAAGATTAAGTAGAACAGACATTTAGCTATCTGTATGTGATAAGCGATTCAATTTGCTACCAACATCAGCTGGTAACAAGTCAGACGTCCCCATTCCTGAAGGTTGAAATGCGAGATTTCTGAAAGCTAATGGGCATACGTATTTCTCCTTGATTGACTCTTTCTAATTTGCCTCTTCATCACAGTATTTTGGTGGAAATATGACAGATTATAATTGGTGGGACTTGTATCATAACTGTGATGTTAGTAAAAAGGGACTTTCATCGTTTCGAATTTTGTTGTGGTAGATGTCTGAAACAACATAGTAAAAATATACTGAGGGCATTAAAGACAATGTAGTTCAAAATGGAACAACCTTTTAAAGGGGTAATTTGAATTAGAATTAATAGTCTGCTTGGCTATAAGTTTTCGTTGCGAAGATAATGATTGGAAGAAATAGTAACATAACCTTCGACATGTAGAAAGACATGATAACATTGAAAAGCAGCATATAAGTTTTTGATATAACGATGATGAGAGTAGACTGCGTTTTCTGAAATTCTTCAAAACTCTACTCTAACAGTTGATTATGTTTTCAAAATTTAGCTTATATGTGTATGGATTTAACCATTGTTATAAGGGTACACTAACCCTCAATCAAGGAAAGGGTTTTGCTTGTTGACGATTGACCAATGGTAATTAGGTGGCATTAGATTTGTTCACTGCCGTTCACAACTTCAGCCTTTACTGATTGGAAGCTTTCTAAAAATTAGACACTAACTTTATCTACTTTGAAGCACTAACGTTTTGTAATCTACTTGAATTATGTCAGTAAGACATCACGTTTATGATTTACTTACCCTCAGCCATATAATATTTAGAATGAACTCAACCTATTTTAAAAAGCGGAGAAGACTGAAGTTCAGGTAGTAATCTGTATTCTGTTTTACAGTAAAGACTTATTGGGTTAAAATTTCTTATCTTTCATGTCATAGTGCATGAAAAGTTCTGATAATTTATGTCGACTTTTAAACCTAAATAATACGGCTATCCCCTAGAACACAACAGGAAATTGTAGAAAAATATTGAACGTGTGGTGTATTAAATATTAACTTTGCTATATTGCAATCTGTGTTCTACAGTCAATGCTATGTGACTTAAGTCATCTTCGGTGGATATATTCAGGAATATATGAAGTCATGACGTATTTTTTGCCGGAACAACCATTATTTATTGAACAGTCCGTCACCTTTACATTCTGAACCGAGCTATGAACCTCGTTAGTTTCTCTCAGTCTTTATAGATGTACGGTTGACCTCTGAGCACCGGCCTCTCTACAAGTGCGGATGGTACGGTTGTCTATATTTTGTCTGACAAGTGAACTTTGACTTGCATGCACTGTCCCAATTAGATGAAACCACGTTTTTCTATCACCGATTTTAAAGAGCACTGTTCTTTCACAGTTAACTGCGCCTTACTCAGAACTTTAATTTAAATTATCCTATTATTGTTCCCTAAGGAACTTATTTCGGTGTAAACGAAACACAATATAATATTAAATGTAAAGTTGCTGCTTTAATTTACACGTGAAGAAATAAGGTTATTCTCAATTTTCACACAACTGAGTTTTCGTTCTATATAGTTATCACAAACTAACTAAAATCTGTGTTCGAGTCATGTATCCTTAGCGTCTTTTAGACAACACCACTTTGTTAGACATTGATTAGGTAATTAAGCATATTTTCTTCTTCCCACAGCAACAAAAACTGTTTATTAGATTTTAAACCTCAGTTTCCCAAACCTTTTTGATCATCTATTAGTGAGCCAAAACACCATTGTGTTTAACCATAAATTTAACTGTAGCCTGATTATGAACTGAATTTTTCAAGTTTTAAAGACGTCCCAAAGAGCAAAAAATATTCTTTTTATAACTCCATCAGGCACTACGGTTATCTACCCATGTAATTTTATTTTGTGTCAACTAAGTTGAAATGGCGTCAAATTTCCTCCGAGTTATAACGACAGCTTTTAGGGAGCAAAAACCCTTATTTTCAGTTAGTTGCAGCATTGTAGTTTTTATCTGATTTAAAATCTTAAACCCACGAAGTCAGTGGTAACTGATGTTCTTACTGAATTATCTACTTATATTTAGTTTCATTAGCTATCTGCTAGGCTAAGTTGGAGCTTTTCGCACTTGATTTTCTAGCATATTTCAATCTTCCCTTCTGACCCATGGGTGTATAACACTTAGCACACGAAATAACTCGCATCATAAATTCGTGTTTTTCATGCAAAAAAATTAATAGAAAAAGAAATGAAGAATGCTCTTTAGCACTAGTTTGACAGCTAACAGGATTTAGTTTCCCTTTCATGGGTTTTCAATTGGAAAGTAATTAAATAACCCACAACTTACTCTCGTTTTTGAGTATTCTTCAACTTGTATTATCGCTTAGAACTCAGAAGAAATCTATAAGAATGGAATTTATTCATTTTATATTCCCTTTAGCTTTCGTACTACCTTCACGTTTATCCAGTAGGTGAAACTCAACGGAACTTTCTCGAACTATTGCTTACCAGTTGGCAGCAGGGCAACTTTTTGTATGTACCAGAAGCACACTGTTCGCTCCCTGGCTCAAGATCTCTGAACCCACTTTGACTAAAATTACTAGCAGAAATTTAGTCTAGAGTCTGAAACACTTTAACTATGAAGATCTTTTGGGCAACTTTTACTGCTTATCTTTGAAACTATTAATTAACAAAACTTGATAACTGCTTGTGCAGTTTGTTTTGCGTCCCTTAATTATTTGTTGGCTTTCAGCTACCTAGAAACTTTGAAATCCCTCAAAAGGCCACTTTTATTAGGGTCCAACCATGCAAAGCTTAGCTGGGCTCCTATGATCCGCTAACCTGACTGATGTCAGTCGGTGAGTTTGACCTCTACATTTAACCTCATGATCATTGTTAGGTGTTTAGTGATGAAAGTTTATTTTGGAATAAATTTGAAATATAGACATTGGTACTGAATCAGATTTGATTTCTTCGTTCCTTAGACTCAGAGAAAATCTTTATCGTCAATGTAGTTGAAATATTCCAACTTTTTTTATTTATTGTAGTTAACTTGTAAATTCCCTGCCTTGGATCGAATTTTTGTAAAGCAGATTACATAAACCCAAGAGCACTATGAACAATTCAGGTGATACCGTCATAAACACACATCTTTTGGACAAATCCTGTAAAATAGGCAGCCATTCTAAATCCATAAACTTCATGCAAGAGAAAGGGAGAATGAAAATATCTAGCCTTCTGAAGTTTACAAAATTAAAAAGACAGTGGTAAAATTCTGACATAAAATTTTTTTAAGATATGAGATTTTGTCAGTTTGAAAATGTTGCAAAAATATTCGTTGCTATTTATACACATGTAGAATCACTTACAGCTAGCTGAAGTTAATGTGTAAAGTTATTATAGTTTCAGTAGAACTGTGAACTAAAGGTTAATTCTTTTCTTTATGTTTGTGATAAATTTGTTGACCTTGCATGACAGACAAGTTTATTCCAGTTCAGAAATTAGCATAGTCTAATTTAGGAATATTATAATTATCACTATCACAGAATTTTTAAGCAGTCACTGTTTTAAAACCAAACACTGATTTGCCTTAACAATTCAATGCCTTACGTCTGTCAGTATATTCCTTTCACTGATGCCCATGTTTAATATCGAAAGTAACCATACTTTGAGGAGGACCACAGCAAAAGTCTGTTTAAATAGTTGTGCACTTTTAAGGAAGCCTGCTGATGGCAGCTTTCAATGACACAAACTAAGAACTACTGAGTATTAGTCTTATTTTATTTTCGGAAACGTGAAGCACTCTATTCACTACTTTCTGACCTCCATTAGTACCTAACTTTTCATCAGGATAAACGAACACACGTATAACTGTTTATCTTAACGGCATAATAAAGAGGCGGTGATTTGATGAAGTGTCAGAAGAGTTGTTGTGATTCTCATACTCTTCAAATATTGCTTGAAGTAAAAGTAAGTCTTTAATCTTTGAGAAAACTAAATGATTGATTTTCCTTTAGTATTTTAGCAGAATCAGGTAACCTGAATTACTTGAAATTTTTACTTTGTTTATTTTCTTTCAGCAAATCAGTTGGTACCGTACTGTTGATAAACAACAGATATCTTCCGGAAGTACACTTAAGGATCCTGTTCGACGTGGTCCACATGGTGTAAGTAAATACGCTGTCAGATTCCTTCCTGGAAGGCCAAATTATGCTCCCAACATGGCAGGCATTGATGTCACTAAACTACGTACCTACCAATTGATTGTTCGATTCGTAGATATAAATGATGCTGATACTCAATTTAGATGTGTTATTGAGCTAAGTAAGTTTGTTTTTTTCACATTACTTTCATGTTTAATTGAAGGCTTTCAGATAAAAAATTTGTCACTGTACATTTAAGGAATTCTATATTGTTAGTTACAACTACTTAATATTACTTAGTAGTATGGCACGGCAGTCCACTTTTCAGCTTCCTCTGCTGGACTAACCGAGGTACATGTAGTTTAAGACATCATTAGCTTGTCTAAGAAACAATATTGGAAGCCCAAACCTCAACTTTCCTGTATCATGATACACACGCACAGAACGTGCAGTACTTTTCTCTTACCAAACAAAGAAAAAAAGTACTATGTTCGCCTTTTGGACAGCTTTTCAAATCCGAGTAGTAGTGACGTAATGGGGTACGCTCACATGACTTTTCGTAAATGAAACTATCAGAACCAGAATGCTTCTGCTCATCCTTGCAACTGTCAAACTATATCCATTACTGCTAAAAATGCCTTGAATTATGAACTGTAACTTTTTATTTCTTATAGTGATTTCTATTCGAGTGAAGCTTCTAGTGGTCTTTTAGAAACAGCAGTGATATAAATGTATTTAAAATTATCTTTCAGGGAACAGAGCCAAAAGTGGAAGTCAAACATTTTACACTCAACATGCAGTGAGCTATCAGTCATGTCATTGTCTTTTAGAGTTATCTTCATCCCAAACTATCCTTGGTGAAGTTTAATTTGAAAGTTCATACTTAAGAACAAGATTTTATCAGTTCATTTAACACCGAAAATATTATTTTTTCTAATACTTTGTCCTAGCTGGGAATTTTTGGTGAAAAATTTTGAAAAGCGCTAGCTATCTGTTCGCTTCTATTCATATATTTACCGGTCTCACAGTAATATGATGAGTTTTTAGTTCTTTCTGGATAGTTTACATGAAGCAAGTATTGTTGTTTCTGCCCAACTGATATAGTTCACAATAATAAAACTTTCAATAGTATTCTAGTTATATGAGGTAAAATGATGTAACAGTTAATCTCCAGAAGACAACTGTACGGATGTTATACTTATTGAAAAACAAGTTAATAGCCAGCTTCATATCTTATTAGGCTATAAATACTGTCAGACTCATCCTAGATACACCAAGCTCTACATATCATGAGCTAGTAACTAAGTTTTGTAAATTTTCACACTTCTTGTGGTATTTTCGTTAGATTATTCCACTAGAAGTAAATTAAAACATGTAAATAAACTTGATATCATGAACACTAGGTAACTTTAATAAAAAGTGTATCTACGCTATTGTTTATATCAAATATCCAGGAGTTGTACAAACAACTATTGGAATTCTCACAACCATCCACTTCATAAAAAGAAAAGTATTAATAAGATACCCGCCTTCGCTTCAGTAAGCTTCTTATCATAGTAATGATCATGCCAGTTGGGTCAGGTATTCCAACAATTCTGAACATCTATACTCTGTATACTTTAATATCATCTTAGACTCCTCTTGACATTACCATTACTCCTTAAGAGTAATACATTTGTGTTCGGATAAACTGCATAATATATGATAACTATGGTTTATAAAAGTGCTAGTTTTGCATCTTTGACAGTTCAGGTGTACTGTCAACATGAGAATAAGCCACGTAATTATACTTATGGAAAATTGTATCTTATGTGAGTGTATTTTCAACGTTAGTCTAAATCAATGATTAATCACTGATCAAGTCAACAGAATCGATCTGATGTGTAATTTTTATTATGGCACTTGTCTTTGGAAATGATTTTCAAACTACGGGCTAAATCTCAGTCTTTTCTGTGCACTCATAAAACTATATAAATGTAGGACTTTTACTTTCACACTTCTGTTCAGATGTTAACTACCTTGACACTGGCTAAATTTTATATGATTTATCGTATTTATTGCTTATCTTTCTGTAAATTAAATGGATTTCAGGAACCACCCCAGTGGACCAGTGGCCTGTTGCATATGGCATTATTATTGTCAAACGTGCACCTGAAATTCTTCCAGGCTTAACATCCAAAATAGTAACAGAAGGCGAGTCCTTAACTCTGATTTGTCGTGCTCAAGGCTCACCGCCACCACTAATAAGTTGGACAAGAGCTAATGGAAGACCACTGTCCCTCCCAGGTTCACCACAAAGAATTTATGTAAGATTCATTGAAGCTGTTCTATATATATATATATATATATATATATATATATATATATATATATATATATATATATATAACGTTTTGTCATAAAATGTCTAACTTTTGGATATATGAAGTACAAACTTATTCATCTTGTCTGCCACTTATTGAAATAAAATCTTACCTAATAGAAGAGTAGAAATCGAACACAATAGTAAGATTATTTACTGTTATTATTTACAGAGGACCAAACACCATCATACGTTTATTGTCTATGATCACGTGAAGGTAGTTACGCAAGTTTGGATGCCGGCTTTCTGCAGTACTTTTCCTCTTTACTGTTTAATCCGTATAGTAATCGAACCTCCTAAATCTCTAGAATAGGCACTGAACCATTTCTATTCCATGTATTAGGTGCTTATTCGATAAAAAAGTGTGACTATTTTGATAAGTTTACGAACAATAAACCACCACTAAAAAAAATCTGCTCAGAGGATGCAGTTGATAACCGAAGTGAAGCTCTCAGAAGTTTGCTGGTGACGGTTTATTCAGACAATAAAAGAGTCTTCCACTTGGGCTAAGCGTTTAAGGAGTGGAAGTATGATGAATTTTTGCACAACGAGAAGTCCATTTCCGTGGAACTTGACATTTTTTCTCCATTTTTCAGTCTCCTCGAGAAATGGCCAGCTGAAAACAATTGAAAACTGTGCAAGATTGCATGACACGTTTAGAAGACATAGTTGAATGATTAAAACAAACTGAAAGGAAAGAATTTGGCGTATTTGCTCGGTGGTAAATTTTGGTAGCCCAAGTTTTAAGACCACTTGACGATGATAGAAACTGAAAAAATAGATTTCATTTGTGAATTTTCTAATTCTATAGGATTATTAAGGGGTCACTTTGTATGGCTTGCGTGCTGGTTTACTCAAAGCAGGATTTAGTTAAGTGATTCTCCAACATATAAGGCACCTCAGTCGATCTGATTTTTTCTATGTACCGTATAAACGGGTAGTAATGCGTGCAGATTAAATTTAGTAAAGAAGAGGCTTCCACGAGCTCTGAAACGTAGGGAATTTACTCTTCCACTTCACTAAAACTTCCGGAATCTCATCTCGAAGCCGATCACTAATGAGCACTGTAGAATGATTCCATTTTGGAAGTTTATGAAGATTTCATTGATCTGAAGTTGGTATTCATGGTCGTGGGTGTGCACTGCTGACGAGTCTAATATTAGGTCTAAACAGCTGTTTAGTGCCCCAACTAATGTCAGTCCACGATGAATATCAACTTGAAAACACTCAGTTGTTTGTGTTTCACCATACTACACACACAAACTATAGTCGTATGGTTTTCTTACATCACACATTTTCTAATTACTTAATGATACTTTGCACTGATATGTAGTCCAAGTATTTTTACAATCTGCTTATTTGTATTTATATTGTCAGTTAGCGTTGTCTTGTTGTATACTTGCAGAATTCAACATTGCATATTCCTCGTGTGGATCGTTATGATCGTGGTGTTTATCGATGTTATGCGGTTAACAATGTAGCTGGTTCAGCTGAATATGATGTGATGGTTGAAGTTAACTATGCACCACATGTTCGCGAAGCTCGTTTCAAAGGTGCTTATGGACAGGTGAATGTTACTGCTTGCTTTTGCTATTAGTAATTTATAAAGGCGTCTGTCCCTCAAGAATAAACTGTTTTGAAATTATTTAGCTCCAGGAAACTTACGCACTGTCTTCATATCTTTCCAAAACAAACTCTTTGATTCTATATAGGATTATCATAATTTAAGAAGGAATCCTTGAAAATGAACACGTGTCCCAAATGATGGTACTGAAGAATAGTAATGTCATGTCAAGAAATAACTAAAAAGGTTGGAGTCTGACATTTCAATTATATAAGGTTTACGACAACAATATCTGAAATTCTTCGCTTCAGTCCTTTAAAAACTAGTCATGTACGCTAGGAAGAATTCGCAAAATACGATAGGCCATATGTTTACCCCTTTTTAGTATTTAATGATTTTGTCATTGATTCCATCTGATCAGGAAAAAGCTTTCCAGTTAATACCGTCCGCCAAAATCAGTCGTCTGATTAACACTGAAAAACGTGTTTATTTATGAAGTCAGATGTGAGTTATGAAAGTGTCGCTGATGTATTTCGATAAATTCAAAAGCGTCTTAGATATCATTTCAACTAAAAATTTGACATAGTATATGGTCAAGTACAATTGGACTGTATAGGTATAGTATATGAGAATGTATTAGACACAGTGAGAAGAAAACCCCTAATTTGTAATACAGCTTTGCTTAGTAAGTATTTAGGTCAATTAGTGAACAAATCAAAAAACATTTAAAAGCGATATGGCTGAAGCTGAAAGAAAACCCTAGTTCTGACAGGATTCGAATGAGAAGCTTTCGGGCTGCCGTTCTTTTGGTGAACTAAAGAAGAAACGAAACTCTATCACTAAATCCCTTGAATATAACTTTAATATCAAATGGTTTTTCACTGGATTTTGTTTCACTTGATACAAAAGATTGAATTCTGATAAATGCAGTGAGCAATGTGATTCATGAATTTGATTCAGTGCTCACTTATAGGTCACACTTTCAGAAATTACTATATATTTAAAATTGTTACAGTGATATACTTACAAAGTTTGTTCACATCTTTTGTTAGTCGTAATTATTTCACTGTTTATTTAGTACACATTTTGTGTAACTTTAGGACTGATAAGTGGCTGCGAGATTTTGTAGGTCATTGAACACGTTAGCGGTATTTAAGCAGTACTGCAGAAAAATATGCACAATATAACTAAACGACAAAATGTTTGATAAAAACAATCACTTATGGCTCTAAATAAACTTACACTGTGTTGCATATATACCCTAAGAGAAATTCAAGTTAAAAACTATTTTTATGCTCTACCTGTCATACGAATACGATTACCTATAACCTTTAGATTTCCACACTGGGCTTTCGTTTGTCTAAAAATTCCAAATTATTTCATGCTATTACGTCGGTGGGAACACCTAAATTAAGTGACTATAAGTGAGTACTAAAAAGCCTCATATCATGATAACGCTACAAAGCATAGTAAACTTATCGGTAACCATATATAGCCATATGCAAAATCGACAGATATGATACCATTCAGGTGATCGGAACTTCTTACAAAAGGAAGAAAGTTGTGTTTTTAAAACCACTCAGTCTCATCGAGGTAACTTTTAATGTACATGCAGAAACTCCATACAGATTATTGTCTATTTGTAACCGATAACTCTTATCCAGTCTTGGATATATCAGAAGGGATCTATGCTCTCATGGGCAATTTATATTATTTATCAGTTAAGAATATCCTTTTGGCATGCTTTGTTTTGTTATCATTGTGAGGTTGTTCACATTTTCTGTTTTCTCTTTCGATATTACGTAATGGAACAAAATAGAAATCGCTTTCGAAAACGTAACAATCTTTTAGGCCATTAAACAACCTAGTTGACTTTAATGAATTCAAGAATATAACTAAAAATATCATATTTGTGTACTCGTGGTAACCTTGAACAACTCTTCTAAACCGATGGTCCAATACTTTGACTATAAAGATTGATGGAATAAATGCAGCTGACTGTACTGCGGTAAATATAACTCGTAATGCGTAGGCTGGAATTACGCTACATTTTAGAGGAATGTAAAAAAACAGTTAATATTTGTCTCGTCTTCTGTAACTTCACCAACTTTTCCATCATTTACCAACACTGTAGGATGAATACATTTTCAGTGAATTGAAATCAATGGCCTTCATTTTCTGTTCACTAGCATATGTTTTTACCATGAAATATTTATTAATGATGAGTTATTACATTGTTGCTCTTGGAATTGCTATCCTAGACCTTATCAGTTAACGGACTTTAAATAGGTAAATCATTGAACGTGTAAACTAGCTTTTATATACCAGTTTCAAAAAGTTGAATATTCGATGAAAGATCATTGTTATGACCAGTTTTTATTGAATGAAGAAAAGAATAAATTTACTGAAATTATAGTTTGATATCCATCGAAAAGACAATTATTCTATACCCTTTTACAAATGACTTTCATATTATCAATTAATCTATTGGTGTTACTTTTGTAAGTCTTTAAATATAGGAAGTCATGACGACTAGTGGTAATCATTTTTATTGTTTTTATTCATAGCACAATGTTTCAATAACTTTGATGATAAGAGGATAAAGCATGATAAGTCGGAAATAGCAAATTTATTTTTATTAGAACACTGAGTAACATAGTGGCAGTTAATTAACTGTGAGACTGATAAGTATGGCTACATCAGAATTCATTATTATATTATTATTATTTGTCCCTTGGGTGCTTAATGGAACATAGGGCTTCAGTAACACGTCTCCATTCCACTCTGTTCTCTGAAATCTTTTGAACCTGCCTCCACGACAGCCCACAAGCTCTCATCTCCTCCTCACACAATCTCCTTCATGTCACCCTCACCTCCGACGCCCAACTCGTCGTTTTCCATCTGGGTTCCACTCGAGTGCCTGGTCTGACGCGTGATGTCCCCAGTTGGCCTTCTCAGTGTATGCCCAATCCAATCCATCTCCACTTCCTTCCAATGCATATTTGTTGGGTGGTGGGTTCTTGAATGGTTCGTTGCCAGCCAGAGTTCCTTGTTACTTATTCTTTCTGGCAATCCATCTGATCTTCAGTAGCGAGGCAGTGTAGGCAGTTGTTGATGAATGTCTGTAGTTTGTCGGAAATGCCTTTTGTAACACACCAAGTCTCTGAAGCATCCTATAGAAGCACTGACTTGACTGGGTTGGTGTTGAAATCCAGATCTTGTTCACACTTTATGCTGAGTGCAGGAGATCCCCACACTGGTTTCAGGCTAATGAACGCCTCTCTTGCTTTTCCGATCCTGGCCTCTTTGACGTCCTCGTCTTTACCGTTGCCTATATTTGAAACAGTGCTGCCTGGATAGGTGAAGGAGGTTACTTCCTTTAGGTTTCTCCCAGTGATGGTGATTGGAGTTTGTTGTTGTTATTGGAGTTGTTGGTGCGGTATCTTCATCATCTCTGTCCTCTATATTCACTTGAAGTCCCGTCTTCGCTGCCCTGCCTCTTCTGTCAACTTGTTAGTTTTCACCTGTAGATCATGGAGTTTGTGTGACATTAGACATAAGTCATCGGCAAAATCCAAATCTTCTAGGTTCCATTCCACGGTTCAGCCAGCGTATCCCCCTCTTCTCGCTTCTGACTGTTTGTTGCATGATCCAGTCCAGTCGACCACAATCAGGAATATCATGGGTGATAGTAGGCAGCAACCATGTTTCACTCCTGTCTTCACCTCACTTCAAAAGCATCACTGAGCTGAGCTTCCTATTGTGAATTACTTGGCTGGCATGTGGCGTCTTCATATAGTTGTTGAATGAGGCTGATAAAGGTTTGTGGTATTCCGTAGTATTGAAGCAGTTTCCAAATTACTTCTCGGTCGACGCTGTCAAAGGCCTTTTCAAAGTCAATGAAGTTGAGGTATACTTTGTTCTATGATGATGCGAAGCGTTATAACTACATCAGAATAGTGAAAGTTAACAGTTTGACGCAATCTCTTTTGAAGGATATGACATCTTCAATTGAAATATAGTCTTTTCAACAACTGATACTTTCAGTGGTGTGGCATTATGGCATAACTACAAATATACAGAATGAAACGCAAGTAGTTTTCATTGAGGACCACTTTTCTACAGTAACTTGAAGTAATAAATCAATGAATATCAGGAGACCGTTTCGTGTTCTCAATTGTTCACAGAGGATATATGGATAGATTCATAATTCATTCTTACAAAGGTTCATACAATTTGATCAGCTTAATGATAATTTTTTGACTTCGGAACTAAATAACAGATTTCGATGTTAATAGGTTGTTTATGTACCTAACTGATTATCTCTCATCTTGGGATGTAATTAAAATGAAAATTATCATTTCAACTCATTTGCTGTTACTGCTGAAATTTTCCAGCTGTACATTTTAATTTTTGTTTCCGTGTAGTGGATAGTTCACTGTTGAGTTGTGTCTGTCAGGAGAAATCAGTCTACCATTTTTTTATACCCATCTTTCTCCTTTTGACATTCCCATAACTCATCAAAAAATGAGATACTAGGGGAATGGTCTTTGCTAGTGGATATTCTGAGCTTTTCAAAACAGTGAATATCGTCGCCTACATCCGAATTCACTTAGTTATTTCAAACAAGAGGTAGGACCACTCAGTTCTTAGGCATTTTACTGATTAACTCTAAACATTCAGCATCACATAAAGTGCCCGACAGTATCAAATCAGTCAGCTTAGTGGCTACAGTTCATACTCAGTCGTGTGGTTTGCTTCTGAGTTTAAGGTCAGATTGTTACGGTTAACAGCATGTTCAGATAATTTCATGTAGCTGAATTCTAAATCCTCTTATATATATATATATATATATATATATATATATATATATATATATATATAGTAGAACTCAAGGAACAGGTGGATAGAAAAAGGCTGATATCAGAGTAGACAAAGTTTTGTGGGACCACAAACAATTTGAGACAACGGTTATTGGAAATGTTCAAGCTTTCGACGTCAAAGAGTCAATATATCTGCACCATTGTGGCTTATTCTCAGCCATTTCACCAGGAGTCTGACACCACTGATTCCTGTCGTTTCAGGACCTAAAGCCAGGCAGTTCACACCTCCTCACATGACTCATATCAACAATAAGAGACTTCATGGAGTAGTGCCAGATCTCGATCTGACCACCCTGAACCCTCTTCCAGCATAATCCAACTTCCCGTAGTTATGGTACATTGAAGTAGGCGGTGGCTCGGCATGTGTATGTCCTGGCTATCTCAGTCGACCAGTTAATGGTACTGTTTCATTGTGTGCTGCATCAAGTAAACAATCTATCACGGAAATATACCCTACCACAGTGCCCAAGTTTTACTATAACATAAATTCTTGTTTCGAACGGTTAGGGATTAAGATATCTTCTCTATGTTGTTTTTTTCATCTCACCTATGGAAAATGTATATTAAGGCACCAGATGGAAATTATGATATGACATTGGAGTGCATTGTCAACGGATATCCTGATCCTGATTTACTGTGGTACACTGGGATTTACGATCCTGTAACAAATAATATCCCTTTATATGATAACAATCGGTATGAACTTGAGAAAGCTCATAGTTATGGTGCAGCTGGTACAAATGTAAGTTTTAGCTATCTTTCATTTTGTACATGTCATTATTTGATAAAATATTTTAATGTAGCTCACATACTGGTTAAATGCTTGTACACTGAAAGAGTAAATTATGCTGTAGTCATAGTTTCTGAAGGGATCACTATATGCATCGCATTTGCATAATCACTGATTACAGCAAATCATTTTGTATTATCGTTTATGGATTCAAACTGACCCTGGAACAGCGTATTTGATGAAAGTTAACATGAGGATTAAAATACTGGGCAAGCACAGTACTAAGATAAACATTTAGTGCTCAGAAGAAGATATGGTGAATCTATTTCAAGTCATTCTGAAAAGTCTCTAAACACCAACGCATTGTATGTGTGAACACCCACCACCTAGCCATTTATTCCATTGTGAGATTTATCAATATTGGGATGACTTATATACAAACAAATAAAGAATACAGGAATAACCTTCAGCTTACTGAAGGCCAATGGAGGAACAACGTTTGAACATGATCTTTATGAATGGCAACAGATTCAACTATTTTGATCTGGCGTTGACGAGCTGCACATGGTATTGGTATTAGAATACGATGTATGACATTGAAAGCTTTACTAGCATCTACATGATGCCCTGCATCTGGTAGGTGAGCTGGGATGGAACGTTTCATCACTTTTACTTCGCCTTTCCCAAACCAAGCCGGTAAATGCTCTCGTATCCCGAAACACATCTGCCTAATCGTACACCCTATGTAACTCGTTACACAGGAACAGCCTACCTAATATTAGCTGCTCATCTTGCATATATCAATTTAACCGTTCCTGTGTAACGAGTTACATAGGGTGTACGATTAGGCAGATGTATTTCGGGATACGAGAGCATTTACCGGCTTGGTTTGGAAAAGGCGAAGTAAAGTGATGAAACGTTCCATCCCAGCTCACCTACCAGATGCAGGGCATCATGTAGATGCTAGTAAAGCTTTCAATGTCATACATCGTATTCTAAAACCAATGCCATGTGCAGCTCGTCAACGCCAGATCAAAATAGTTGAATCTGTTGCCATTCATAAAGATCATGTTCAAACGTTGTTCCTCCATTGGCCTTCAGTAAATTAAAGGTCATTCCTATCTTCGGTATTCGTTTGCCTTTTTATTCACCGTCATATTATTCATTTATTACATTGTATTAGATTCTTTTCTCAATTTACGGTTTGCAAACTAGCCATGTTCAAGATACTTTAAGAAATATGAAGGTTGGTCAGTTAACCAGCACTGAGGCATAATTATGACAGTAGAATTTTGGCACTGTGATAGTACTTAGACAGTTTCACAAGGAATAAATACTCATACACTTGATTAAGATGTTTAGCACGATATTGAAAAGTTCGACACACAACTCTCAGGTTCAGAAAGCAACTTAATGTGAACAATAAACTGATAGGTAATATTTTTACTCCATCGGAATATTTTCATTGAACAACTAGACTATTATCTATAAAAATTTGTTCGAAGAGATATATCTATGTGTTAGAAGCAGTTATTAATGTTTCATTCATTTTCTGTACATTCTGTTACTAGTTAACTGATGTATTTTCTACTCTATTGATACGTAATGTACGAGTTGGTGACTACGGAAACTATTCCTGTCGCGCGGAAAACAAATATGGTTCAAATTTTGTTGTACTTAGTCTTTTCTGTAAGTTAAACACATAAAAGTTATCTCATATTTTGCATAACTTCCGTTATTGGTTGACCATAAGTTGATTTAACTATTTCATTAACGGTGAAAAAACTCAAGCATTGTATTTTTATGTTTATCAACTGTCGAACTGCCTACAGCTTGAGGATACTGAATTCTATTTTAAGAAACAACTCCAGTCTCATGCCTTTGAGTATAGTCAAGCTGGTGGTTCATTTCTGTTTTGTTTTCATTTGTTTATGTAGTTAGTTTGTGAGGATTATATGTTAGATTCTTCTGATTCCAGGCGCTAAGACAGTGGTAATAATAAGAGATATCTAGTGCTATGTTAACACTTGAAATCGGATCACATTATAAGCAGAGAATAGATTATGTAGTTAAAATTTCATCTTGACCTAGTCAGTAATACTAGGTCACATTAGATAAATTCATTTGACAGATCTTTGGTCGTATCTATCTTCTAGTGGCCAACCATCCTTCAGGTTTATTTAGATAAAAGTGAATTAGATGAATTTTGAACTTGTGGTTTAGTTTGTGAGTGTTGGTGTCTTATAGCAATGAACTTAATAAATGCTGTAGAGATATTTATACGTCACTGGACTTGATAGCTAACTAGCTATTGTAATGTAGTAGGTTGTTGTTACTACAAGTACAAACTGGTCTTACAATCAGCAAGAATACTTAAGACTACATATCCATAACTCGTATGTAAAGTCTGTTGGATGGCTGTTAAGTGAATATGACAATATTTCAGTAACTGATGTCTTAAAATGAAATCCACGCGACAATTCTCGCTCCATCATCTTAATTATTCCTTTAATTTCATCAGTTTCATAACAAAATCTTAATTTTTCACTTGTTTGAGTTGAGATCCTATATTTCAAAGAGTAATGTATACTTCAATAAGTCTAGGTAAGTTATAGATGATTACCAGTGATTCAGTTTAGAATAGCAATCAACAGATATTCAATGCTGAGTGAGTAACTTGAATACCAGCAAATTACTGAAAAGTATTGAAAGAATGATAGGTTATTTACTGTTAGAAAAAGAAAGAAACTTTACGGTGACTTGTAATCGACTTAAGGCGGTAAATAAAATATCAGAGCATGCAAAGCTAGTAGTAGTTCAAATAGGATTCATATAATATTTGTTGCTGGGACACCTAAAGTTTGGTTTGTAATGCGCAAACAGTTAAGCACTCTCATAGTTGCTTGTTATCGGTTGTTGATTTGCATGAGTGGTTTAAAAATATCAAGTAGTCACTAGTGGTACTTGCTAACCACATGGAGGTGATATCTATCTTGGACAGTGATATTGCTCTTCTAGTGCTTTTCTCTTCAGTGATATACACGAATTGATTTAACTTTGAGATCTGAATCGTTTAGAATCTAATGAATGGTAACTACTCATGGCATTTAGTATTACAGGAAGTGAAGTTCTTGTGTTCAGTTTCTTGATACCATTCTTAGCATTGAACAGATCATAATTTGATACCCAGAAAATTTAGGTTTCTTTGGGAGACCACTGTGAAAGTACATGTAGTTGTTTCATTCTTGCTTCAACACTCCTATTAACTCCTCTATTTAGATAAGGTAGATGGGATCAGATTTTCAGAATAAAAGTATATCGCTTCATCCCGTGAATATTCATCAACCGAGTATAGTTTGAAATTATAGTGTTTATTAGAAAGAAACTATATATTTACACACTTTAAAGTATTGTATCATAACACATAAGGTAATGCGAAAATCAGAGAGAGCAAGAAACCATAAGAGGTACATCAAAATCACTGCTAATTTGTATGTTATAGAACAGGAGGTAGTAAGGGATGATAATGACGCAACTCGCATCCATAAGACTAAGATCGACTAAGTGAGTTGGATTCAGTAGGCAAGTGAAACAAAGAATTACGAAATTAAAATAAAACAAGAACAATGTGGTCGGAGAATGTTCGCACTGTTTTTTGTAAGTCTGATGGAAAGCGTCTTTTAGCAATCTCTACCTCAAAACGTAGCAGTCCAGGCATCTTGTTTACGTTAAGGTAATAGAAATATCAACTTGATGTCCCGCATCTACAAGGTGTTTGCTAATTGCACTAGTCAGAATCATGCTTCTTGTCTAATGTAAATTCTTTAGAATTCGCTCAGTGAGCCATATGAAGACCCTTTTCTTCGTCTTTCTGATGTACTTATTATCTTAAGTGCATGTAAGTTCATAAACTCAGTATATTTATCAGATTTGAACTAAATCAGTGGGTATACAATATCACATACTGTTGTAATTTGGCTATAGATAGGCTTCTTTGGTTCTGTCGGATATGACATCGCTGAATACAAGGCTAATGAAAATCATTTTTCCAAAGGTTGAATGCATAGTTCTTTCGATCTGTTCTTTTCTATACCTCATGATAAATCTCTGAGACACTTTTCAATACCTTCTTAACTCCTCGTTTAACTTGTTCACAGAACATGAATCTGTAGCTCTACTGTTAATCACTGTGGCTAGTCTGCGCTTATAGTTGGCAGGACAAAATTTCTTTAGTCTGAAAATTTAGTCATTTTTGCTTTCTCTAAACTTATCAAGTGATCTACACGCATGAAATACTTTTTTATTGTTCCCGAAAATAACTAACATATGTACTGCGGTGTAGTTGATTTACTAATTACTGACAAAAAGATGACCAGGATGTCAACTGAAGTTTCAAGGAATCTAGAGTTGCATTTGGACCTGGATTCATGCTGTTAGTTTTATGTCATACTATCTAGTGTACAAGGTCATGAACAAAACCGATAATACGTAAAGTTCCGTTTTTACTTTTGAAGTCAGAACTGTATAGTAGAAGAGCCTGTAATGCAGGGTTTTCCAGAAGTTTAGTTAGTTACCAACAATTTTTAGTAGTATTGCTTCTCGGAATTCCCTTTGTCTTGCCAAATTAATAGTATATCCCTCTACGAATCAGTATATACTCACAGCCATTGTTTGTATTTGGTTAAATCACTTATGATAGTTTTTTCATTGGCTGTTTGAATAAAGATATTCTCAATTCATTTGGTAATAAATGTAAGTACCTTTTGACCTACTTTTTCTATTCATTAGATCAATCGATTTGTCAAGGCGCCTATTGCCCGATGCTTGGAGCTGTATCATTCAAATCCCGGGTTAATCAAGATGGAACTTCAGTGATCAATTAAATGGTTAAGACTATGTGTAGAAATTCCTGCTCCTTTTTGTTTTTTGATTTTTACAAGTATATTTTTGAAACCTAATTTCACTAAAAATATTCTCACCAGCCTATTATCCCACAGAAATTTACCACTTTCTAGTTGTACTACTTAAATGAAGCAAGTAATACAGACGTTTTGTTTTTAAATTCACCGTCTTGAGTCATGTGATGCAGTCGGTGGTATTCGAAAATTCTTTTGACCTAAAATTATCACCATGTTAATTATGTTAGTTAACACTTTGCTGGTGATAATTTGATGAGTCACCTAAATTCATATTGTCGAATCTGAGTATTTATCATAGAATTCTCTACAATAGGGAAGCAAATAAATAACAGTGTTCAAATTCGATTCTTGATGAAATGCTCATCACAACAAACACATAAATGATATTGTTTGCAAAACAGTGGAGGTTGGAGATCAAATGTCACATAGAACCTTCTTCAGTGTAAATTACCGTAAAATGCAGGTGTCATTCTGATGTACGATTAATATTTAAAGTAGTTTTTATTATGGAATGAAATCAAATTCAGAGTTATTGAAAACTTGGGAGCACTGAATAGCTGTTTCTCTCCAATACGGGAATCTTTAACAGTGCGCGCCCAAAACCCTATAAGAGATCGATCATAGGGCTGAAATGTTCCATGACGAACATGCTATCACCCAGTCACTGGCTTAGAACATACTAGTTCACTAACTTCTAATTCCGCTGCGCACTAGCGACCTAATTTTAGATAAGTTTCTCAAAATTATATTCAGTAGTCATAACCTATATGATTAGCCAGTCTTGGGATGAGAATGAAGCCTAACTATGATATAAGATGTAGTCACTCTATGTCGCTAGCCGAAAAAATTTGGGGTTTGATTCGATTTCACTTCAATAACTGACGGGTAACGCGCCCTCAGTGAGACCTCTCAATCCTGAATTTGATATGATGTAGGGTCGTAAAGGTGTAATACTTAGGAGTCCTAAATTAGGACGAAGAAATGTTCAGCACTCCTAGCTTTTCAAAGACTGACAAACTGATGTCAGTTCGTGATGGAAACCATTTTAAAATTAATCAGTCCCCGTTAAGCCAATCATTGGATTGTGTTTTAACTTCAGATGAGTTTCATTCAATTCTTTTTGAATTTTATGTTTAGAAACGCCAAATTAACTGGTATTTGGATGATAATAAATACAGAATACAGAGTGCAAAGCTTTGTGTGTAAATGTCGTAGTGGATAACACTCCGGCGTTTAAAGCTATCGGTTCTGGGTCCAAGTATTACAGGGAAAAATACCACTCCCTAGGAGGCAGGTTCATCCAGCTGACGAGTCCAGGTAGAACGAAGCACACGTTCTCGTTTCTACTACTAGTTTCCTCCCATCATTGTTATCAAGCTGAAACTACAGGCAATATCGAGCCATACACACAGGAGCCCATATTCTATCAGAACCGATCAGTTTTGTCCGGTCATCGACGGAAAATTACAAGCAGTAGCATGAAAGATAAACCATTTTTGGAAAATAAGCTAACTTTAAGAAGTAAATACGTATGAGATTAAAACCAGACTGAATAATCCTAAGGGTTATTGAAAAATCAGGTTTAATATCTGCATTGTGATCAATGTCAATTAGCTGAAATTGAACAGAACTTGTTATCCATTTTACTTCCCTTATATCAAAGGAAATTTCGCCAAAAGTCTTAAAAAGGTCCTAAGCGTTCTAAGCAGCTGACTCCAGAAACAGCTGAATTTACAAATACATGTTGAAATTGACACATGACAAAGCATAACCTTCAGACGTGGGGACAAAATAGCATTGCTGGTGAAAATTAATCTGAGTAGTTGCCAGGATCGTTTTCTTTAATGAGTGTTGAAGTCTGTTTGCAACAAATTTGGCCATATTATCACTCTTACACTGGAGGTTACTGAATATTTATTCACTGTCCAGGTGGAAATGACTGACTTATCTGTTTTCTTATCATATCCTTCCTAATAAAACCTTCAGGTTATTCATTTCGTTTAAATTTATCAATCAAAATTTATAACTATCCATCGTAGCATCTAAGTCAATTATGCTTGTTGTTGTTTACGAATATGGAGATATGGCGGTTTGCAGTATTTGAAAGTTAAAAATAGAGTTCATGGTATTATGGGACACTTGGAAACCTCTTAATGTCCAGAATTAAATTATAAAGTAGGCCAAAGTAGTTGAAGTAACAGTATGTGAGTCTTCAGAGCACTTAATTCAGGTTGCTGCATCTTCTTCAGTCTAGAGGATTTAGAGCCTCATGCTTTCCGGATAGTTGATGGTCATTGCGTAAATAACTGGTAGGTTCTCATTCATAATAAGTTTGAACAAAGTGAACTAATATAGAGTTTCTTAAGATCTTCGTTACACCTTTGCTTCGCCCCACCGAGAGGTGGTGATGAGCATTGAAAACTAAGTTCCTGTAGCAATACCCTAGGTAGCTATCTCAAGAGGAGGAACCAGATTGATAAATGTAAGAGGAAATGTCTAGACAACACGATTCATTTTTTATATTATGGCTTGTAGTTTCTCATCTTTTACAGAACTAATTTAATCGTTCACTATTGGGATACGAGACAATGTGCAGATTCCTCGATATTGGCAGTTATTTGACTTCGACAGTAGTAAGGGCAAGTGGCTGGGAGTGAAACGCAGGACAAGCGTTTCATCCTACTTGGGGCTTTTCAGCTGCGTGTACCTCCTTCCTTCCAAGCAACCTTGAATAACATTGAAGACAGACCAATGGGAAATTTCAAATCTGACGTAGCTCTTTTGCTCTCAGAGCTGCACATCTGTAACGAATCCACACTTTTTTTGAGCCACTCATCTCGACTTTGCATAAGATTTTGAGAAGAGACTGTGTAGAAGTGACATGACCAGAGTTGGCCAAGTAGCCAGACAGAATCCACTGCCTGACCTGCATTTACCTTTGGACAACTAGGCACGACATTGCTCGAAGGAAGACTGCACTTTGTTCAGTCAACATAACCAGTCCCACAAGAGCGGGCAAACTAGTAGACACACGTGATCCTTCGTCCCTCCCTGAATCAATTATCAGCTCAAAAAAGCCATTTGCACTCCGACAGCTTAGATCTGATTGCTCTTCAACAGTTCTGCTGTCCCCCTTGAATTCACTGCTAATGAGTAACATCTTAAGAGCAGCAAGAACTCGTTTCTGTTGCTATTTTAGCCTTATGATTTTTGTAGTGGGCTTTGTAGGAAGGGATACTCTTTCTGAAGAATTACTTTTTAGGCTTTTTCACCTCTTCATCTATCGTGTTGTCTTTGCTAATTCTCTTAAATGAACTAGATTTCTGTATCAGTGGCACGTGACCTTCGGAACCGATTTGATTTTTCAGTTGTTATACCTTTTAAGAAAGTATCAGGTCTCTTGTTCAACGAAATATCTGGAAAATGAAATTCTGAGTTGCTCTCAGCTCGCATCACAAACTTGATCGAGGAACAATAGCCATTGAATCTTGGTAATATGGCACCAAGATCAGTTTTCAAAAGATTTTTGCTCCAACGTTTTGTACTTTCATCTTCTGCAATTGGAAGAGGAAGGGAAGTTCTATGGAATCTACCTGAATATTACTTTAGGCCTATACATTTCAGGTATTTCACTTTGATATGTAGGCAAGGCCGAGTGACTTTGTCAATTACCCAGTCAGTTTCTTTATCATTGATTTTGCTATGATGTTTATTCCAAAACCCTGGAACAATTAGTAACTGGTTTTGATTTCATCTTTTCGATGAACCTTTCGATGATGTGTAAATTGAGAAAAACATTACGCCAACTTGTAAACCACTATCGTGAAAAACTTTTCTGCTTGACTGTATAGTGAAACGCTTATTAAACTAAGGACACTTAGCTACTTTTGATAAGTCGTTCGAAACTTTGTCTAAAGTATGACCAAACGATATGGAAGTAGTAAGGTTAAAATATTTAAGGATTGCTGAGGAATTAGCAATTTAAAAGTTCAAAGCGTCAGCGAGCTTTCGAAGGAAGTATACACAACTTGCTTCTTTGGTGTGGGCACCATAAAGAATTAGTTACTGGAGATAATCCCCCTATCATGTAATTTTATTTTATTTTCTAATTGTTTATTTCCCTATTTTGAATGCTTATATACGTATTTCGTAAATTTCCCTTTTCATGCAATTTATTCTGACATTCGATCAGAAATCACTTTCGAAAGTTCTATCCTTTCTACTATGTATTCACAATTGTGTAGCTTAGATAATGATTTCGTCGAAAAGAAATGATTTTATTCGTGGCAGTCGTTTTCTCATTCTAGGGAAACCCACCAGTTTACAGAATTCCTAGTCACTCTTACTACTAAGTTCTAGATTATTAAATGGTTTGTTATATATATATATATATATATATATATATATATATATATATATATATATATATATATATATATATATATATATATATATATATATATATATATTATATGTGAATATATATCAACAGTACTTATCAGGCGATGTGACTCATATGAAATTAAGTTTTGTGACGGAATTGTATAAAATGGGTGACTTGATAACCGGGTAGCATCCGAAGTATGTTTTTTTTTCAAACTGCAGATTTCTTGGAAATGTGCATCTTGAAGGTTATTATTATTATTATTAGTCCCTTGGGTTCCTAGTGGAACATAGGGCTTCAGTAGCACGCCTCCAGTGACCTCTGTTCTCTGAGATCTTTTGAACCTGGTCCCACGACAGCCCAGAAGCTCTCATTTCCTGCTCGCACGACCTCCTCCATGTCACCCTCGGACGTCCAACTCGTCGCTTCCCATGGGGATTCCACTCGAGGGCCTGACGCGTGATGTCCTCCGTCGGCCTTCTCAGTGCATGGCCAATCCATCTCCACTTCTTCCTGCATATTTGTTGCGTGATAGGTTCTTGGTTAGTTCGTTCCCAGAGTTCCTTGTTGCTTATTTTTTCTGGCCATCTGATCTTCAGCAGCGAGCGTAAGCAGTTGTTGATGAATGTCTGTAGTTTATTGGAAATGCCTTTCGTGACGCGCCAAGTCTCTGAGCCATACAAGAGCACTGACTTGACGTTGGTGTTGAAAATCCGTATCTTGTTCCGCATGCTGAGTGCAGAAGATCTCCACACTGG